ACAAAATTGTATATCTATGTATGTCCACTTTTTTGTGAGGTGCATTTAATCGGGGTTTCCATGCGCTTTATCTATTTGATAAATCTTGATCAATCGGCATATATATTCAGAGGGAGAGACGTTAAAGGTCTGCAATTTTTGTGAATTGCCAAAGACGTGATATTTATACCCTACAAAACTATGTTGTCAGGGTATTGTAGCTTTGTGTAGCCCAAAGAGTTTGTGACGTCGAGAAATATTGGTCCTAAACCCACATTTAAGTATACCGATCGTCATATCTCGACTAGCCGATCTAGTCCGTCCCTATGTCCATTATAATACAGACCACAGTTATGGATCAATCGCCACGAAATGTAGGATGGGTTCAAGCCAATGAAGACCCCTATTGTTTTTTGGTAAAGATCGGTTAATATTTGGTGCAAAAATTTTATTTTTGTCTGATTGTCTGGTCGCTCCAGAGGCCGCAATTATGACCCAAACTTCGCGAATTTTAATATAGAGAAGGGAATGGGGCCAAAGAATAAGCATGTCTGTTTTGATAAATATCGGTCAATATTTAGCGGGTCAAATGGACCCTGACTTTTGTGTGAAAAATGACAACATTTGTATTCTATAGCGTATGTATTTATTGCTGAAGAATATAGACCCGATATGTTGGTAGTATATCCAAGAGGAGTGGTTGGCCTTTAAATTGATACCAATTATATTGCCGTACGTACTCGGATGTGGGAGTTGCACTTAAATATTTACAGGTGCATACGTATTCATCTATTATTTAGCAATCCATTACCACACTAGGCGGAAATATAGCGGTGATTGCTTTGAAATTTTCCAAGAAGTTCCAGTTATTGTCAAGGACAATTCGGTGATGATCAGATACATATTTTGTGATGAAGTGGGTCGAAAACATAATTTTTTGTCGTTTTTTTTAGTCGATCTATATGATGAACCTCACAACTCAACCTACGTTGAAGGGAATTTGGACAAGTAATTAGAAGGACTGTACTGAATATTAGTAATAGTCGGAAAATATGTCAATGTAATCGGCCAAGACGGTGCAAATATCACGAAATATTGTTCAAGCTCGGAATAAAAATCCGCAGAAGTTAGAATTCCGTCCTCTTGTCCATTAATCGGGCAAGAGGGTGCAAATATCACGAAATATTGTCCAGGCTCGAAATAAAAATCCGCAGAAGTTAGAATTCCGTTGTAGCTGTGTAGGGTATCTTATGGTCGGCCTCGTCCGACTTTTCAATGTATTTAGGTTCTATCGTCTAAAAAAAATAAATTTTTTTTCGGGGAGACGTTGATTGTTTAAAAGATAATTTTTCAGGGTGATATTCAGCCGATGAATTTTCAAAATATTTCGAAAGAAATACACAATATGTTTTTATATTTTTTTCAAGACAAAAAAAATCGGGTATTGGTTACATTTTCCATCAAAGGCCCGACAATTTTAAAAACATTTGTTTAGGGCTTAATAGATAAAATATTACTTGTCCATTAATCGGGCAAGAGGGTACAAATATCACGAAATATTGTCCAGGCTCGAAATAAAAATCCGCAGAAGTTAGAATTCCGTTGTAGCTGTGTAGGGTATCGTATGGTCGGTCTCGTCCGACTCCGCTCACGGTTTTTTTTTTCAATAATTTCCACCGTATTTATGTTCTATCGTCCAAGAAAAACCTGGATATTTGAATAACATTTTTTTCATGGAGGCGTTGATTGTTTAAAAAATAATTTTTCAGGGTGATATTCAGCCGATGATTTTTCAAAATATTTCGAAAGAAATACGCAATATGTTTTTATATTTTTTTGTAAGGCAAAAAAATCGGGTATTGATAGGTTACATTTACCATCAAAGGCCCGACAATTTTAAAAACATTTGTTTAGGGCTTAATAGATAAAATATTACTTGTCCATTAATTGGGTACAAATATCACGAAATATTGTCCAGGCTCGAAATAAAAATCCGCACAAGTTAGAATTCCGTTGTAGCTGTGTAGGGTATCTTATGGTCGGCCTCGTCCGACTCCGCTCCCTTTTTTAATAATTTTCACCGTATTTATGTTCTATCGTCCAAGAAAAACCTGGATATTTGAATAACATTTTTTTCATGGAGGCGTTGATTGTTTAAAAAAATATTTTTTAGGGTGATATTCAGCCGATAATTTTTCAAAATATTTCGAAAGAAATACGCAATATGTTTTTATATTTTTTTTGTAAGGCAAAAAAATCGGGTATTGATAGGTTACATTTACCATCAAAGGCCCGACAATTTTAAAAACATTTGTTTAGGGCTTAATAGATAAAATATTACTTGTCCATTAATTGGGTACAAATATCACGAAATATTGTCCAGGCTCGAAATAAAAATCCGCAGAAGTTAGAATTCCGTTGTAGCTGTGTAGGGTATCTTATGGTCGGCCTCGTCCGACTCCGCTCCCTTTTTTAATAATTTTCACCGTATTTATGTTCTATCGTCCAAGAAAAACCTGGATATTTGAATAACATTTTTTTCATGGAGGCGTTGATTGTTTAAAAAAATATTTTTTAGGGTGATATTCAGCCGATAATTTTTCAAAATATTTCGATAGAAATACGCAATATGTTTTTATATTTTTTTTGTAAGGCAAAAAAATCGGGTATTGATAGGTTACATTTACCATCAAAGGCCCGACAATTTTAAAAACATTTGTTTAGGGCTTAATAGATAAAATATTACTTGTCCATTAATTGGGTACAAATATCACGAAATATTGTCCAGACTCGAAATAAAAATCCGCAGAAGTTAGAATTCCGTTGTAGCTGTGTAGGGTATATTATGGTCGGCCTCGTCCGACTCCGCTCACGGTTTTTTTTCAATAATTTCCACCGTATTTATGTTCTATCGTCCAAGAAAAACCTGGATATTTGAATAACATTTTTTTCATGGAGGCGTTGATTGTTTAAAAAAATAATTTTTCAGGGTGATATTCAGCCGATGATTTTTCAAAATATTTTGAAAAAGATACGCAATATGTTTTTATATATTTTTTTTTCAAGACAAAAAAAATCGGTTAGGTTACATTTTCCATCAAAGGCCCGACAATTTTAAAAACATTTGTTTAGGGCTTAATAGATAAAATATTACTTGTCCATTAATCGGGCAGGAGGGTACAAATATCACGAAATATTGTCCAGGCTCGAAATAAAAATCCGCAGAAGTTAGAATTCCGTTGTAGCTGTGTAGGGTATCGTATGGTCGGTCTCGTCCGACTCCGCTCACGGTTTTTTTTCAATAATTTCCACCGTATTTATGTTCTATCGTCCAAGAAAAACCTGGATATTTGAATAACATTTTTTTCATGAAGGCGTTGATTGTTTAAAAAAATATTTTTTAGGGTGATATTCAGCCGATGATTTTTCAAAATATTTTGAAAGAGATACGCAATATGTTTTTATATGTTTTTTTTTTCAAGACAAAAAAATCGGGTATTGATAGGTTGCATTTTCCATCAAAGGCCCGAAAATTAAAAAAAACATTTTTTAGGTCTTAATAGATAAAATATTACTTGGACGTGGTCTTCATATTCGCTTTGACAGATATAAACTTTCCGACCATTTTTCAAGAATTTTGATGATAATAGTTGCATTTTATGAATTTCGAATTTTTATAGAATCAGCGAACTCATGGCAGAATATTTTTAATGGAGGTCAATGTTATAGCTCACATATTAAGACCTTCTCCCTGGTTTGGTATATTGGAGAACCTAGCGAATTTTTCATCCTAAATATTATATCTTTATTTTGGTATTTCATATTGTCAGAAGGGTAAAAAAATCTTTCGGACACAATTTTGATAATTATTTAAATTAAATATTTTGTATTTTATTTTAAATAAAAATTTTGCATTTATCAGAAAGCCCAAATAAATTAATTAAATATTTTAATTTAATTTTATTAATTTCTTTTTATGAAAAAGAAAAAATTTTCTGCAATTTTTTTAAACTAATTTAAGATTATTTTTAATAATATTATTTATATATAATTTTTTTAATAATATTATCTCATTTTTACCACAAATTATATATACACATTTTTTTAATTACTTATTAATTTAATTATGAGGAAAATTTATTGTAGAATGAAGAAGAAATAGAGAATAAAACAATTTATTAATTCACCTAATATTTACATAAATATGAAGATTGATTTATGTGAAGATATATTTCAAAATTTTTACTTTAAGAGATATATTTTTTTTTAAAGTATTTTATATATTTTTTTAATTAATTATAATTTGTGCCATTTTAATGTGAAAACAAATGGAAGAATGTGATTTATTTTCTTTAATAATATTTTATTTTTTATGTATATGGGTCAGGGGGAGGGGGATGATTTTGGAATGAGAGCTGGGGGAATTATGTGTGTATGTGTTTGTCTTTTTTTATTAAGGGGATTTTTTATAAATTAAAAATTAATAAATTAAATTGGATTTAAAGTTTTTTTTTAAGTTTAAGATTTATTTAGGATTTTTAGTTTGTGTTTTTATTATTTAAATTTAAATGTTTTATTTTAGTTTTAAATTAAATTACGTCTTATTTAAATTTTTTGTTTTAATTTTAGTTTAGGAAGAAATGTTTTTTAAATTTAAGTTTAATTTTTATTTTTTTGGTTTATTGTTTCGTTTTTGTGTTTTTTAAGTTTATTTTTTTCGTGTTTTTTTAAATTGTTGTTTTACTATTTTTTTCATGTTTTTTTTAAGTTTTGCAATTTTTTTGTTGGTTGTTGTGTTTAGTTTTTTTATTGTAGGGGTTTGGTATCTGAGTGTGTGTGAGATTTTTTTTATGATTTTTTTTATTTTTTTGTCGGTGTGATGTTTTTTTTTGTATCTATGAATGTGTTAGGTTTTATTTCATTTGGATCTTGTGTTTTCGTGTTTGATTTTTTTATTTTTAATATTTTTTTTTTTAATTTTTTTTTTTCATGGGGGCTGTTTTGAGATTTTTTTTTTTAGATTTTTGTGTGTGTTTTGGGGTTGTTTTTTTATTTAAAAATTTTCGTTATTAATTTAATAATTAACAAATTGATTTTATGATAAAACCAATAACAATAACCACCTCTCTCATATAGCTACGAGACAATAATATGTGGTGCCGATAGTAGTACAGCTATTGTAGCTAATATTGTGAACATTGTGAATATGATAAGGCACAGTCTGTCAACGACCATAGCGGCAAATTTCCAATCATTGGCTATATCATTATCCTCATCTTCTTTGCGAAGCTGTGTGTTTTTGTATTTGTATTTTTATTGTTGTTGTATTTGTTTTTTATGGTATTGTTGTAATGTGTGTTTAGTATCATGTCATTGTGTCAATTTTTTTTTGTTTGTTTGTCATTTATGTCCGCAAACAAGTATTTAGTTAAATAATAATAAATAAGAAAAAAATTAACAAAAAAAATATTTAATTAATAAAAATTATAATTGCAATTGTTTTTATCATGTTTAATAATGTGTTGACATGATAACATAATAATTAATTTATTTGCATAATAGTTTTTTTTTGCATTCGGTTTTTGGGTCGTGAAAAGAAATTTAAAGAGTTATTTGTTTAATAGATGTAATCAGGTTAGAGATTAAAAGGTTAGAGATCTCACAAAAAAATATTAAAGAAAAAAATTAATTATTTATTGTTTTTATTTATATTTTCTAAGTGGATTTTTAAATAACATTATTTTCAGGACTACACAAGGCCTGTATTTTTTAAAGAATCATTTTTCGAGGACTATATAAGGCGTGGATTTTTTAAAGAATCATTTTTCGAGGACTATATAAGGCGTGGATTTTTTAAAGAATCATTTTTCGAGGACTATATAAGGCGTGGATTTTTTAAAGAAGAATTTTTCCAGGACTATATAAGGCGTGGATGTTTTAAAGAAGACTTTTTCCAGGACTATATAAGGCGTGGATGTTTTAAAGAAGAATTTTTCAAGGACTATATAAGGCGTGGATGTTGTAATGAAGAATTTTTCAAGGACTATATAAGGCGTGGATGTTCTAAAGAAGAATTTTTCCAGGACTATATGAGGCGCGGATGTTTTAAAGAATAATTTTCGAGGACTATATAAGGCGTGGATATTTTTAAGGAATAATTTTTCGAGGACTATATAAGGCCTAGACTTCTAAAAATATTTTTAAGGCCTGAGAGACTTCTACAATCCGTGGACTTTTTAAACAAAAATGTTTAAGGCCTAAGGGGCTTCTACACTCAGTGGAGTTTTTAAAGAATATTTTTCCGGTATTTCTACAATCCGTGGATTTTTTAAAGAATATTTTTCAGGGACTTCTACAATCCGCGAATTTTTTAAAGAATAATATTCAGAGTTTTTATAGGGATATGAAAGAGGTGCATTTTTAGGGAATACCTTTCCAATGGTACAACTAAGGAGTTGATTTATAAAACAATAATTTTTCAAGCCTTATAGTCAAGCGTGTTTATATACCCTACACAACTATGTTGTCAGGGTATTATAGCTTTGTGCAGTCCCAAAAGTTTGTAACGCCGCGAAATATTGGTCCTAGATCCACCTTTAAGTATACCTATCGTCATATCTCGACTAGCTGAGTCGATCTAGACATGTGTGTCCGTCCACCCGTCTGTCCATTATAATTTGTAAACACGATACAGGCCACAGTTATGGACAAATCTTCACAAAATTTTGCATGTAGGATGGGTTCTGCCCAATGAAGACCTCTATTGTTTTTGGTAAAGATCGGTTAATATTTAGGGAATGAAATGGACCAACAACTTTATTTTTGTCTGATTTTCTGGCCCAAATATCGCGAATTTTTACATGGAGAAGGGGATCGGTCAATATTTAGCGGGCCAAATTGACTTTGATTTTTGTGTGAAAAATGACAAAATTTATGTTTAAAGCCATGTCTACGTTCGGCAATTCCTGCAAAATTAATACGGCTATGCAGATAATTTTAAGTGACACAAGGTCAGCAGTTAAAGCAGAAAGGGCCTATCAGAGCCCTTCAATACCGAACGAGGATACAGACAAGGTGATAGTTTGTCGTGTGATCATTTCAACATCCTGCTGGAAAAGGTCATACGAGACGAAAAGGTGAACAGAAATGGCACACTGTACACCAAACAACACATGTTACTCGCCTACGCCGATGGCATCGATATAATGGGTCGAACATTGCGAGCGGTAACAGCCACCTTTGAACAAATTGAAAAGGAGTCTGCCAAAGTGGGTCTGGCAGTAAACGGCGAGAAGACCAAGCTGATGGTATCAACGCGCAAGACGTCTAGTAGACTCGGACCAACTGTGGAACTTGACAACTACAACTTCGAGGTAGTTAAAGACTTTATATACCTTGGTACCGCCATAAATAAAACGAATGGCATCATAAATAAATAAACGAAATACATAGTCAGTCGCTGCAGCGACTACGTTGGCTAGACCATGTTGTGTGGATGAATGAGAATGCCCCAGCTCAAAAGGCATCTAAAAACGAGCCTACTGATGGTTCTCGTAAAAGGGGAAGGCCACGAATTAGATGGAAAGACCAAGTAGAAAACAACATCTTGGAACGTGGTCTTCCAAGACCGACGCTCGGCTTATGGATCAACCGTCCTCTAACAAGCCACCTAAGTAAGTAAGTATGACAAAATTTGTATTCTATAGCGTATATATTTGTCCTGGGGGAAAAAGACCCGAGAAGTTCATGGTATATCCAAGAGGAGTGGTTGACCTTTAAATTGATACCAATTATATTGTCGTATGTACTCGGATGTGGGAGTTACATTTAAATATTTACAGGGGCTTACGTATTCAGATATTAGTTAGTAACCCATTACCACACTGGAGGGCGGAAATATAGCGATGATCGCTTTCAAATGTTCCATGAGGTTCCAGTTATGTTCAAGGACAACGCTTATTATTTGCGACGATGATCAGATAATAATTTTGGAATGAAGTCGACCGAAAACTTTTTTTTGTGTTTTTTCGAGTCGGCCTATAGGCCACAATTGAAAGCCGAACATCACAACACAACTCACGGTAAAGGGAATCTGGACAAATACAACCCTCCTTTACTGAATATTAGTAATATTTGTTGACTTGTAGTCGGTCAAGAGGTTGCAAATATCGCGAAATATTGCCCAACCTCAGAATATAGAACCACAAAAAGTTAGATTTTCGTGGAAGTTGTGGCCAACCCCGTCCGACTATACTGCTCCGCTCACTGGTTTATAAATATAATTTGTCAAGAGCTAACACAAGGCGTAGATTTTTTATGGAACATTGTTGAGGATCTACATAAGGTGTCGGTTTTTAAAATAATAATTTTTTAAGGCTTTTAATCAGGAGGGATTTTTTAATTTTTTCATGGCTTTACACAAGGCGTGCATTTTTAAAAGAATATTTTTTTCAAGCTTCATAATCAGGAGTGTTTGGTTAGGGACCATCTAAAGCTCTGGATTTATCACAATTATTTTTAGTGACTCTCTTAAGCCTTCTATAGGTCTAGTTTTTATTAAAAGGCATTTTAGGGCATCAATAGTAGGCCTGGCTTTTTTAGAAATATTTTGTAGGGACCTGAATTTTTTTGAATTATTTTTATGCGACTTTCTAAGTCCTGGATTTTTTACCTTCACCACACTGTGGTACAATGTCTTTGTGCATATGTTTGTAACAGGCAAACGGAAACGAGATAGATACATGGTTCCTTTTGAGAATATGCATAGAATCATTTTCTAAGTCGATTTACGCATGTCCGTCTGTCCGTCCGTTCATGCATTTTTGTGGACAAAGTACAGGTCGCATTTATGATCCGATTTGGATGAAGTCTGGCATAGGTCACTTATTTGGCCCAAGGTCGAACCCTATTGAAATTGGGAAAACTCGGTCCAGATTTAGATATAGCTCCCATATATATTTTCATCCGATTTTAGGTAAATAGTGCACCGAAGTTCCTTTATATCCTTCCATTTGCACGAAATTTGGCACAGCGTAATGAATTAGGTCTGGAATGATGTGTGTTAAGTTTCCTCAAAATCGGTTCAGATTTGGATATAGCTCCCATGTATATTTTCGTCCGATTTAAGGTAAATGGTGCACCAAAGTCCCTATTTACCTCTTGATTTGCACGAAATTTGGCATATCGTACTGAATTACGTCTAGAATGATGAGTGTTGAGTTTCGGGAAATTCGGTTCAGATTTCGATATAGCTCCAATATATATTTTCGTCCGATTTAATGTAAATGGTGCACCAAGGTCACTATATATCTTTCGATTTGCACGAAATTTGGCATAGCGTACTGAATAAGGTCTAGAATGATGTGTGTTAAGTTTCCTGAAAATCGGTTCAGATTTAGATATAGCTCCTATATATTGTTTCGTCCGATTTAATGTAAACGGTCCCTATTTATCTTTTGATTTGCAAGAAATTTGGCACAGCGCACGGAATTAAGCCTAGAACGATGTGTGTTAAATTTCGTGAAAATCGGTTCAGATTTAGATATAACTCCCATATATATATATATATATATATTCGTCCGATTTGATGTAAATGATGTACCAAAGTCCCTATGTATCTTTCGATTCGTAATGAATTAGGTCTAGAATGATGTTTATTAAGTTTCGTGAAAATCGATTCAGATTTACATATAGCTCCCATATATATTTTCGTCCGATTTAAGGTAAATGTTGTACCAAAGTACCTTAATATCGTTCGATTTGCACGGGATTTGGTGCAGCGCAATGAATTAGGTCTAGAATGATGTGTATTAAGTTTCCTGAAATCGGTTTAGATATAGAAGCTATATCTACTTCTATATCCGACCAAATAAAAAATGTAGTATCGGTTGCAGAATGACATGTTTATGAATATACCCTAAGTGGTGAAGGGTATCATATAGTCATGATCATATTTCTACACCGAATTGGATGCAATTTAATATTTTCAGGTCTTTATAGGTATCAAATCTCTCCACAAGAAATTATGAATATAGTTCCATTTTTTCGGATAGTCCCCATATAAGACTCTTTTGTAATCATTTCACATGCGGAGGATATGGAGATAAAAAAATAGAACGTAAGGTTCGATAATGAACTATAGTCCACCCCTGTGTGGGAGGTTCCAGAAGGAGTGGACCGACATTCCCCATCTTCGAACTTGAACCAAATTTGGAAGAAATAATAAGATGGTCAAAGTTTGGATGAAAACAATATTTTCTGAACCGGATTTGGTGCAAAGAAACATGGGGTATAGAACCAATATTTCGATGAGGCATATTTTCACCTCGTCAAAGTGTATACACCCTCATTAGCCATAAGGCTGAGGGAATAAAATATTCATTCAAAATTTCTGAAATTTGTATTATGGTTTACATATTCGGTTTGTATAAATGTCGGATAGGTGATCTTTTTGGTATGCTTCCTATATTCTCATTTAGTACCTGCCAGTATATCTATGGTGGAGGTGTATTCAAAGTTCGTACGGGCCGAACTTAACGCTTTTTCACTTGTTTAAAAATATTTTTTTCCTATATTGTTTTAAAACATTTTGGGAAAGACAATCTATGGCCTTATTTTTTAAATATTTTTGAGGTCTGTATATGGCTATGGCTTATTACAATTTTTTTACAGACGATTTTAATGAATTAATTTGAATTTAATTTCTAAGTTCTGAGTTTTTTTAAAAATATTTTTTTCTCGGCCTTAATTGTTTAGAAATTCTGTCTTGACTTTTTAAAATATGTTTTAAAAAATATTTCTTTTGTGTCTGTGTTTTTTTTAATTTTTGTGAGATCTCTTTACCTTTGTTTTTTTTTGTGTTTTAAATAATTTTCATAAACAACTAATTTGAACTGCAAAAATTCTTGGACTTACCTGATCCGTGATGAAACGTATTTCCTTTAATATTAAACTTAATTCATATTCCGTTTGAGTTTTAATACATGTGTGATGGGTGACAGCGTCCGGCATGCGGGTACTACCAATCGGTCCTATACTGCCATCATCGCCTTGCCTAAAAATTCCCACACATAAAAAACCGCGAGAGAGAGTGTGGGGGAGAGAGCGAGAGAAAATTAAAAGAAGACAATTTTATTACATAAATAGAACACAAGCGAGGCGGTGTATTACAAATTCTCTAAATACCCATAAACAGTACGATAAAATGCTGGATTATGGGGCAGGGTGCCGCCCGGTGTCATGGGTCGTACATTGCGGAAGTCATCGTCAATGTCCAAGACGTTAGCCAGTAGCGATTTGGAAGAGCTAGAATGTGTTGCAAAACATTTTTTTTGTTTTTTTTTTTTTTTGGAGGGAAATTTTGGGTTCGGGGGAGTAGAATAAAATTTAAGAGAAAAAATATTATTAAGGGTCTTAGAAAATTTATTTTAAAATATATACAAAATTATTTTTTGTTGTAAAAAATATTGGAAATAAAAATTATTTTATATTTTTTTAATATATTTACAAAAAAAATAAATTCTACATATTGTATTTGATTTCTTCCTACCGCTCTTTTAATTCCACATCTGATAATATCTGATGTTTCCTCTCCGAGGATGTATCCGAACATGGTGTCGATGTGAAATCCATAATGATGGGTCTACCTGGTCGGTGCATGCGTAATATCCATGGTAACCAACATAGAAATACCACACGTATCTATGTTTTCCCGTTATTCGTTGGCAAAGTCGAGGGGGGCAGAATTTGACCATAATTTCGGAAGATTTTTGTTTTTTTGAAGAGGAGGGTGGTGGTCAAATATTTTTTTCGTATTGGTCATTTAAAGAAATATATTAACATTAGTAAAAATCAGTAATAATTTTTTTTAATATTTTTGTTGTTTTTGTTAATGGAGGTATTTTTCTGATTTAATTTTTTTTTGTTTTGGTTTTTTGTTTGGAATGAAGCATCAAAGTTCTATTTAGAAGCAGTGGTCATTTGAGTGAGTAGGGGGGGGGGTCAAGTGAATGTGATCAGCAGTAGCAGCAGTAGGTAAACCTTTTTCCGGTGTGGTCAAGAAAAAGGCATGAAAATGCATTGGGTAAGTTGTTTATCGATTCGTGTTATTTTTAGATTAATTTGTAAATCGATTTTAAGAATTTTAAATTTTTTGATTTAGTTTAAGAAATTTGACTGGCAATCAATTTATAATATTTTTTATTTAATTATCCGGTTTATTTTTATTTATTAATTATTTAATATAGGTGTAGACATATATATGTACATGCAAAATTATAAATCACAAAAAGGAGTGGGCGGGACAGGGGAAAACATAGGGATATTGGGTAATAAATACATATTCTTTTATTGGGTATATAAAAAGGCGTTTGGATTTGTATAATTTTAATTTTTTTCTGATTAAAATAATATTTTTCCAAGGCCTATATAGGACGTGGACTTTTTAAAGGCGTGGATTTTTTAAAGATTAATTTTTCAAGGCCTTAACAAGGCGTGGACTTTTAAAAGAATATTTTCCAAAGCCTATATCAGGCGTGGATTTTTTAAAGATTATTTTTTTCAAAGCCTATATAAGGCGTGGATTTTTAAAAGAATATTTTCCAAAGCCTATATAAGGCGTGGATTTTTTAAAGACTAATTTTTCAAGGCCTATATAAGGCGTGGGTTTTTTTAAGACTAATTTTTCAAGGCCTTAACAAGGCGTGGAATTTTAAAGATTAATTTTTCAAGGCCTTTACAAGGCGTGGACTTTTTAAAGATTCATTTTTCAAGGCCTTTACAAGGCGTGGACTTTTTAAAGACTAATTTTTCAAGGCCTTAACAAGGCGTGGACTTTTTAAAGATTAATTTTTCAAGGCCTTTACAAGGCGTGGACTTTTTAAAGATTAATTTTTCAAGGCCTATCCAAGGCGTGGATTTTTTAAAGATTAATTTTTCAAGGCCTATCCAAGGCGTGGACTTTTTAAAGATTAATTTTTCAAGGCCTTTACAAGGCGTGGACTTTTTAAAGACTAATTTTTCAAGGCCTTAACAAGGCGTGGACTTTTTAAAGATTAAGTTTTCAGACCTTAACAAGGCGTGGACTTTTTAAAGATTAAGTTTTCAAGGCCTTAACAAGGCGTGGACTTTTTAAAGATTAATTTTTCAAGGCCTTTACAAGGCGTGGACTTTTTAAAGACTAATTTTTCAAGGCCTTAACAAGGCGTGGACTTTTTAAAGATTATTTTTTCAAGGCCTTAACAAGGCGTGGACTTTTTAGAGATTCATTTTTCAAGGCCTTATCAAGGCGTGGATTTTTAAAAGATTAATTTTTCAAGGCCTTAACAGGGCGTGGATTTTTTAAAGATTATTTTTCAAGGCCTTAACAGGGCGTGGATTTTTTAAAGATTATTTTTCAAGGCCTATAAGAGGCGTGGATTTTTTAAAGATTATTTTTCAAGGCCTATAAGAGCCGTGGATGTTTTAAAGATTATTTTTCAAGGCCTTTAAGAGGCGTGGATTTTTTAAAGATTATTTTTCAAGGCCACTTAGAGGCGTGGATTTTTTAAAGATTATTTTTCAAGGCCTTAACAGGGCGTGGATTTTTTAAAGATTATTTTTCAAGGCCTTAACAGGGCGTGGATTTTTTAAAGATTATTTTTCAAGGCCATAACAGGGCGTGGATTTTTTAAAGATTATTTTTCAAGGCCTTAACAGGGCGTGGATTTTTTAAAGATTATTTTTCAAGGCCTTAACAGGGCGTGGATTTTTTAAAGATTATTTTTCAAGGCCTTAACAGGGCGTGGATTTTTTAAAGATTATTTTTCAAGGTCTTTAAAGATTATTTTTTTAAAGATTATTTTTCAAGGTCTTAATAAGGCGTGGATTTTGTAAAGATTAAGTTTTCAAGGCCTTAACAAGGCGTGGACTTTTTAAATATTCATTTTTCAAGACCTATGTTATGCTGCCTCGAAGCAAGTAGACCAGAAATTTACAACGACGTCTAGAGAGTGTGTGCTTCTCAAGAGGTACTGGATGTTCCTGCGATTAGCAATAATGAATCGAGCTGACCCTGACTTGATTATCAGTGAAGATTAATGATTGCTAGTCGACAGATATTTGAAGAACCTCTTCCTATCCGACGAAGTTGATCGACGGAACCTACGGTTTGACCATATCACTTTATACAAAGGGGTCAAGGTTGTTAATTGTCGAACTAAGGAGTCTGAGGACTTTCTTAAAAAGGCAATTAACAGCTGCTACCCTCTTATACAAAACGGGTCAAGGTTGTTAATTGTCGAACTAAGGAGTCTGCGGACTTCCTTAAGAAGGCAATTAACAGCTGCGACCCTCTTTGGTAAGGCAGTAGACTGGCAGCCGTAGCGGTCCAAGCGGAATCCCACCACAGTGGTGTGGATCCCACCACATTTTACGGGACTGGAGAACAAATTACGGTTAGTGGAAAAGCAGAATGACAGCCTTGAGATGAGGAGGTGGAGAATCATCGCCTCATTTGAAAAGAACGGCGGTGTAGTCGCAAAATTCACTACCGAGTCTGCTGGTGAGCAATATTTGAGGAGGACATTATTTCCTTCTCCCTCCATTAAGGCAATAGGAAGACAGCTACAAGCGCTAAATGTAGTGCAGATTAATCTGCATCACTGTAGAGCAGCTGCTGAACGGATTCTCAAATTATCTTCCTCGAATACCGACATCGCGCTCATCCAGGAACCTTACCTGACCCGGCCGGTGTTGGTAAAAGCCGCCTAATGGACGAAATGAACGGCACTGGTGATCTAATCATCGGTTGTGATGCCAACGCACATTACTTTCACTGGGGATGCAGCAACACTAACACAAGAAGTGAGTCCATTTTAATACCCTTCACTACACTGTGGTACAGGGTATTATGTCTTTGTGTGTATGTTTGTAACAGGCAAAAAGGAAACTAGATAGACACATGGTTCCTTTGGAGAATATGCATAGAATTACTTTCTGAGTCGATTTATGCATATCCGTCTGTCTGTCCATGTTAAATTGTAAACAAAGTACAGGTCGCATTTATGATCCGAATTGGATAAAATTAAGTTTCTTGAAAATCGGTCCAGATTTAGATACAGTTCCCATATATATTTTCGTCCGATTTAATGTAAATGGTGCACCAAAGTCCCTATATATCCATCGATTTGCACGAAATTTGGCATAGTGTAATGAATTAGGTATAGAATGATGTGTGCAAAGTTTCGTGAAAATCGGTTCAGATTTAGATATAGCTCCCATATATATTTTCGTCCGATTTTATGTAAATGGTCCACCAAAGACCCTATATATATTTCGATTTGCACGAAATTTGGCGCAGCGTAATGAATTAGGTCAAGGACGATGTGTGTTAAATTTCCTGAAAATCGGTTCAGATTTCGATGTAGCTCCCATATATATTTTCGTCCGATTTTAGATAAATAGTGCACCAAAGACCCTTTATAGGCTTCTATTTGCACGAAATTTGGCATAGCGTACTGAATTATGTTTAGAACGATGTGTGCCAAGTTTCGTGAAAATCGGTCAAGATTTAGATATAGCTCCCATATATATTTTCGTCCGATTTAATGTAAATGGTGCACCAAAGTCTCTATATATCCTTGGATTTGCACGAAATTTGGCATAGCGTACTCTATTAAGTCTAGAATGATGTGTGCTAAGTTTCGTGAAAATCGGTTCAGATTTAGATATAGCTGCCATATATATTTTCGTCCGATTTTATGTAAATGGTGCACCAAAGTCCCTATATATCTTTCGATTTGCACGAAATTTGGCACAGCGTAATGAATTAGGTCTAGAATGACGTGTGTTAAGTTTCCTGAAATCGGTTCAGCACGGACCTAACCTAAGGCGTGGATTTTTAAAAGAATATTTTTCAAGGCATTACCAAGGCCTAGATTTTTTTAAAAAATATTTTTTCAGGGGTTTACCAAGGCATGAATTTTTTAAATATTAATTTTTTCAAGGCCTTAAATTTAAATTAGTATCCTCATTACTTATATCCATCACTGTATCTCATCTCAATTTATCCACTCAACCGATAACCGATAAGTGTGATAAATAAAATTATGCTTATTTTGTGGTCAACTATTGCTGTTGTTTGTGTCACAACAAATCATCATTTGTGCAAAAACGGGAAAACGCAAACACAGCCGGTCGACCGGCCAAACGACCAACCGACAATGGTAATAATTTGGAAAATTATATATTGACCGCACTTAACGATAATGATTACTATTAGAGTATAATTTTTGGATGGCGAATTTTGCAGAGCAAAGCAAAAAATGCAAAAAAAAAAAAGAACTTAGGCAGTAAATTATTTACAATTTGAAATGGAAAATTTTATGGTTTATTTTTTTGCAGGAAGTTAGAGTTTATTTAATTATGTGTAATAAATTAAATACATTTATAATTTAAATTGTAATTTAAAAATCTATGGCCTAAAAATAGGCTATGAATTTTTAATGAAATCAGATGGAAATAAATGTGAAGAAAAAAATCAGATTAGTAGGACATGTGATTATCCGATTTAAATTAAATTAAGTGATTCAATACCCCTTAAAAATATGCAATTGATTTAATAGCCTAAAAGTATGCAATATATGAAAATGTCCCTGGAGAGAATGTTTTATTATTAATAATGGAAGCTGTGCTGAAACCAGACACTTTCCAAAATAT